AGGAAATAATTTGGGCTTTGAATATTATTATATTGTGCAATTTTCCAGGGCTGGTGGCGAGGTCGTCTTTTTCGAAAATTAAAAAAAAAATTAACAATTTTGCAAACATTAAAACAAATAGATTAATATTTTGATATTAAATTATCTTTTATTAAATTTAAAATAAAATGTCTATGTTATATATTATTATTATTAATGTTATTAAAATAAAAATAATATATTGTTTCTTCAAAACAAATTTACATAAAATTAGACATATATTTTATATTATTATTAATACACTTAGAAGAACATTGAAAAAGTAATAGGTAGTTCATTTCAAGTTTTACTTTTATTTTATTTCTGCAAAGCAAATCTTAACAAATAAATAATAATTCAATTTATTTCTGTTTTAGAAATATTATTTCTATTTTCAAATTTTTATTTCTGTTTTAGAACTGTTATTTCTATTTTCAAATTTTTATTTCTGTTTTAGAACTATTATTTTCATTTTAAACTTCATTTCAGTTTTAGAAATATTCTTTCTATTTTCAAATTTTTATTTCTGTTCTTTAATTATTGTTTCTGTTTTAAATTTATCAGTTCTGTTTTATTTATTTACTATTTTTATTTTAAAATTTTTATTTCTATTTTATGAATATTGTTTCTGTTCTATACCCATTACTTCACTTATATATTTCTATTAGTTCTGTTTTAGAACTATTATTTCTGTATTAAAAATATTATTTCTATATTAAAAATATTATTTCAGTTTTAAACTTATCCGTTCTGTTTTAAAACTATTATTTTAATTCTAAAATAATATTTCTGTTTTAAACTTATTAGTTCTGTTTTAGAACTATTGTTTTTATTTTAAACTTTTTATTTCTGTTTTAGAAATATTATTTGTATTTTCAAATTTTTATTTCTGTTTTCTAATTGTTATTTCTGTTTTAAACTTATTAGTTCTGTTTTATTATTCTTAATTCTGTTTTATTTAATTATTATTTTTATTTTAAAATTTTTATTTCTATTTTATGATTATTGTTTCTGTTTTATACCTATTACTTTATTTTTTATTTCTATTTTATAAGTATTACATCTATTTTAAACCTATTAGTTCTGTTTTAAAACTATTATTATTATTCTAAAATAATCATTTCTGTTTTAATTAATATTTTATTTATCATTTATTATAATTATACAATTATATTGAATAATATTTTATTTCTCCAAATATAAACCATATAAATTTGAACAATACATATTTTCCATCTTAAACTAATATAATAAACCTTTTAATTCATTTTATATAAACTAAAACATTTTCAAAAAATATAAATTAAAATTAATATATTAATTTTATTGGTATATATAATACAATATATTTTAAACACACTGGTATGGTATCACAAACTAATATCGAATAAATAATATAAATAAATCAATAATCTAATAAGTAGTACAATAATTTACCTCAATTGTAAAAAGTTTCTTTTCAATATTATTAATTTAATATTTCGACAAACATTTATAATAAATTAAATAAACAAAATTAAATTCAGAAAATATAAACTAAACATACTCCCACATTTAAAAAACATGACTAAATACCTATTATTATCATTATTAAATAAAAATAAATTACTCAGATCAAGAAGTTGCTTATAATTGCTTTCACGTTTTTAAATGTAATTTAATTAATTCTATTAATATTATTAATTAATATATTAAATAGATTTAATATTTTAAAAATAAAAAAAAATCCTACAACATAATATAAATATACAAATACAATTAATATAATAATTTAAATTAAATTACTTTAAAAATTCTGATTTAATTCGTTATATGAAACATTAAAGCTTTTTAATATTATTTATAATATTTTATTATTACTATATATTATATAGTACTATATAGTAGTTACTATATTATAAATAATATATTATTTATATTATTCTATTATAACAAACGAAAATAAAATTTAAATATTATTAGTATAAATAAAATTATATTATTTAACATTTTTTGTATTGTAATTCCTTTCAGATTTTTAATTTTAAAATTAAATTATTATTATTATTAATTAAATAAATGGAACTTTAAATAAAAATAATATTCTTATATATTGAAGAAGAAAATTTAGTATCTGATTCCAAATTTTATAATATGAATTATAATTAAATATTCTAATATAAATTAATATTGTCCTCAATAAGTTTCAACTGAAATAAATATTTAATTCAATCAACAATCAATTTGGCAAATTAATTATTTTTTATCACTTAAATTATAGAATAGAACCTTATTTGTAGAATGCACTGCAGAATATTATATATATATATATATATATATATATATATATATATATATATGTATATATATTATAATAAAAAAACATACATTTATTGACGATAAATATTAAAATCTGTTTAAATTCAAAAAATAATGTCAAAAACATGCACAATTTTCCGAAAAAATGTCATGGATATATTTAAGTCCATTTCATTTTAAACATGTCAAAAATAGCATGATTATTATATCTACACACTCATAAATATACGTAACTATTACGTAACTTCAATGAAATTTCGAGTTACATTGTAATAATGAACAAAAAAAATAGGATAAAAATAAAATCTATTTTAGAGTTCTTTTCGGGTAATACACAAAATTAAAGTTCGTTTATAATTTTTCTATAATAAATATTAAGTATATGTTACACGAGTTACATAATAATTACGTATTAGTTACATAATAATTACGTATTAGTTACATAATAATTACGTATGTTTATTTGATATAAATTTCGATTTAATAATCTATTTACCAGGAAATAGATTTTAACGTTTTTCCGAAGCAAATATTTTTGTTTATTATATTAAAAAAAATCTTTCGTAAATATATTCGTGAACATATACGTAACTATTACGTAGCTTCAATGAAAATTTATTAATAAGAATGAAAAAAAAAACTAATTTAGAGTTTTTTTCTGGTAATACACAAAATTAAAGTTCGTTCCTAATTTTTCTGTAACAAATATTAAGTATATAATAATGTAACACGAGTTACATAGTTACATAATTTCGTAGTAGTTCCATACTAAGTTACGTTGCAGTTACGTATATTTATTAGATATAAAGATAGATTTAATAATCTATTTACCAGAAAATAGATTTTAACATTTTTTCCGAGGTAAATGCTTTTGTTTATCATAATATTAGTATATATTAGTATTATAATATAGTATTACCAGAAAAGAACTCTAAATTAGTTTTTTTCATTCTTATTATTAAATTTCATTGAAGTTACGTATTAGTTACATACAAGTTGCGTTACGTATATTTAATAGATATAAATATCGATTCAGGAAATAGATTTTAACGTTTTTTTCGAAGCAAATGTTTTTGTTTATTATAATAAAAAATATATTTCGTAAATTTATATATGAGCATGATATACGTATACGTAACTATTACGTAAGTTACGTAAGTTACGTAAGTTACGTAAACTTCAATGAAATTTAATCATAAGAATGAAAAAAATTAGATTTCACAGTTCTTTTCTGGTAATACATAATTAAAGTTCTTTCATAATTTTTCTAACACAAATATTAAGTATATAATAATGTAACACGAGTTACATACTAGATACGTATTAGTTACATATTTATTAGATATAAAAAACGATTTACCAGGAAATAGATTTTAACGTATTTTCCGAAGCAAATGTTTTTGTTTATTATAATAAAAAAAAGTAAATATATTTTTTATATATGAGCATCATATACATATACGTAACTATTACGTAACTTCAATGAAACTTAAAAATAAAATAAGGATAAAAATAAAATCAATTTAAGAGTTCTTTTCTGGAAGTACACAAAATTAAGGTTGTTTGTTTATATTTTTTCTATAACAAATATTAAGTATATAATAAAATAACACGAGTTACATAATAGTTACGTATTAGTTACATAATCAGTTGCATTGTATTTACGAATATTTATTAAATACAAAGATCGATTTACCAGGTAATATATTTTAACGTTTTATCCGAAACAAATGTTTTTGTTTATTATAATAAAAAAAAAAAATTGTAAATATATTGTTATATATGAGCATGATATACGTAACTATTACGTAACTTCAGTGAAATGTAATAATATAATAAGGACAAAAATAAAATCTATTTTAGAGTTCTTTTCTGGTAAAACACAAAATTGAAGTTCGTTTATAATTTTTCTATAACAAGTATTAAGTATATAATAAAATAACACGAGTTACATAATAGTTACGTCTTAGTAACATAATAGAGTTACATAAGAGTTACATAATAAGTTGTATTGTATTTACGAATATTTATTAAATGCAAAGATCGATTTACCAGGTAATAGATTTTATCGTTTTTTCCGAAGTAAATGTTTTTGTTTATTATTATAAAAAAAATATTTCGTAATATAAATATTATATATTATATAGTTTTATATATGAGCATGACATCGATCTACATATGCGTAACTATTACGTAACTTTAATGAAATTTAGTAATAAAATAAGGACAAAAAAACTAATTTAGAGTTCTTTTTTGGTAAAACACAAAATTAAAGTTCGTTTATAATTTTTCTATAACAAATATTAGGTAGATAATATTGCAACACGGGTTACATGATAGTTACGTATTAGTTACATAATAAATAGGTATTTTTATTTGATATAAATATCGATATGACAACGAATTCGATTACGAAAGTGCATCCACTGGGGTACGATTATAACTATAAATATTTATTTAAATAAATATATGATATATATTATATAATATTGATAATATATTAAATTTGCACGCATTCACAAAATTATATCACACTGAGTAAAAAGAACACATCACAAAAGATCGGAGGTTGGTTTTTCTCTCTCTTATCTTAAAGTCGAAGGATAATAGATATATGTACATAGAAAAGATGAATCCCAAGATTCTATGAGCCCTTTTTAATGAGAACATTCCTCGTGAGTTGGTTCCTTGTGAATCCTTTACCTCAAGGGTCCTTTATCTAGTTTCTTTTCCTCTTTTTTCTCTTGTCGCTGGCAGAGCCCCTCATCATCAGTCGTCTAGGTGACCCTCGGCCCCTGGGCCCTAATTTACCATCCCTTAGAGGTCTGTGAACCCTGCTGTCGCTGGTATGAGCAACATTTGCAGAAGTCGAAGCAGCACCAGCCACAAAAATATTCTCTAAACTTGCAGGTTTCCTCTTGACCCTTAGGTCCCTGATGCGTTTCAAGACACCAGCCTTGGTTTTCCTTAAAACTACACCACCAGCATCTCCGAAACCGGGCGGCTGTCCTTTTAATACGCGAATTGGTGCACTTTTTGGAGATCCTGTGATGGATGGTGGCCGAAGGCTCTTTTACCAAACCTGCTGAGGATGATGAGGAAATATTGTCTGAGGATGATGCCACGGCTACCAGGCTGGTTTCGGAGGTCTGTTGTTGCTGCTGGTGGTGTTGGTTTAATTGTTGATGTTGTATCTCCATTACCTTAAGGGATTTTTTACCATTCCCGCCAGCGCTGCTGGGTTTATTAACTCTTCTGGTGGTTCGCACGCCGATTTTGCGCAAAAGAGATCGCGCTGATTTGTCGGAGATCGATTTTTTAGGGTTTTCGCTGATTATTGGTGCCAAAGAGTCTGTTAAGTCCCTAGAGCAACTCGGTTGAGATGCTGCGGAGTAGATGGCATTGTGCTTTTTGGATTGTTGTTGAGATGAGTCTTTGTTGAGGCGTTTGGAGGTGTTCTTGTGCTTGCGGCTTGATGTCTTGCCTGAACAACCCTGAGGAAAAAACAACAATATAGTATATAATAACGTAACACGAGTTACATAATAGTTACGTATTAGTTACATAATAATTACGTATGTTTATTTGATATAAAAATCGATTTAATAATCAGGTAATAGATTTTAACGTTTTTTCCTAAGCAAATGTTTTTGTTTATTATAATAAAAAAAATATTTCGTGAATATATTTTTATATATGAGCATGATGATTATTACATCGATCTACATATACGTAACTATTACGTAACTTCAATGAAATGTAATATTAAAATAAGGATAGAAATAAAATCTATTTAAAGTTCTCTTCTGGTAATACACAAAATTAAAGTTCTTTTATAATTTTTCTATAACAAATATTAAGTATATAATAATGAAACACGAGTTACATAATAGTAACTTCAATAAAATGTAATATTAAAATAAGGATAGAAATAAAATATATTTTAAAATTCTTTTCTGGTAATACACAGAATTAAAATTCGTTTATATTGGTTACATACTAAGTTACGTTGTAGCTACGTAATATCTACGTGTAATAATACACACACATACATGACTCAGTAATTAAAATACATTGAATCATTTTTTTTCCTAATTCTTTCATGTATTAATATAAATATTTTGTGAAAAAATAGATATTGAAAATTAATTTTTAATATTTCTAAACAAAATAAAGAATTTAACTAGTGGTGTATGACATCGTGCTTTAAGACAAATTGCTGGAACTTCCCGTACCGTAACGAAATGTTCGAGGAATATTGAATGTTTTCAAATAGATTTTTATAAATATTGTAACATTGTCTAATATTTATAAGAATTATATAAACTAAATCACAAAGTCAAAAACATTTATTTAAAGTATATAAGTTAATATATAAATTGAGGGTTAGTATAATAAGTTAGTATATAAATTGAAATCTGAATTATTTTCGATACACAAAAAAAATTGAAATGAAAAAAAAAATTCCAAAAGCATTTGTTTTGCCAACACAAGCAGAAAGTTTTTTGAAACATTCGATTTCTGTGACGAGTACAAAATAGTTACGTTTATTTTACGTACAAAATAGTTACGTTTGTGTTACTTTCTCGTTCCATAAGAGATTATATTGCATTTTGTAATGTTAATAATAAATGAACTCATTTTTACTATTTCTCATATAAAATTTGTATTATATTCATTAATTAACGTAAATATGTATTTCGTGCAAACTGCGTGCTAGTTTCGTTCTTGTTACGTTCTTGTTGCAAAAGTGATTTTGTTCAAATTTTATATTATATTGTATTTAATATATATGTATATTATATTGTACCCACTTAAACAAATAAAATAAAATAGTAACAAAACAAAAAAATCTGTAAAGTAAATTTATAACTCAAATTACATTTAAAATAAACATATTTATCAAGTGCAAATAAAAACTGTAAAACAAAAAAATAAATAAAACTAAGAATGAATTTTTGTGCATACAATATAATATTTACATAAAAATGTCAGAGGTTACATTCAGAAAACTTGTGTATTTTTTTTACAATTTTCTAAAAATTTTCCATTTTTTATTCAATGTCACAATATAAAATTGTTTGTACATTTTGTCTGTTGCATTTGTAGTTACATTTTATATTTTTAGTTTATATACACACAGAGAATCTTGGCCTTTTGGGCATCCAAAAACCGAATCCGTACTACAAAATAATATATGGAAAACGTTAATTAAATAATTGATTCATTACTTAATTGATGTTCAGTAGGTAAATGAAAATTAAAATATACTGGGTGGTCCTTAATATGGACATTTTCGAGTTTCCTTGCCCCCAAGGGCTTAAATGGTTACAAATAGATAAAAAACAATTCTCTGAAAGTTTTAACTCTTAATATTAACGTTTAGATAGAGCGCAATTCAATCAAAGTTTTGTATGGAAATAGCATGGAAAAAAATTTGAAAATTAAAAAAAATATTTTTTTAGGTATAACTTAGCGACAAATGAATTAAAAGTGAAAATTCGTGTCATTTTTTATTGAGAATTCGACGCTCTGCAAAATTTTTGAAAAATTATTCATGCTATTTTCATACAAAACTTTGATTGAATTGCGCTCTATCTAAAAGACAAAATTGAGAGCTAAAACTTTCAGAGCAAGGAAATTCGAAAATGTCCATATCAAGGACCACCCTATATATATATATATATATATATATATATATATATATATACATATATATATATATATATCAACCACAGAATATTCAACAACCCAAGAAAAATCCATTAGGATTCACCAGATCACAAATAACCTAACTTATATTAATGCCTCCTAGGTTACGTAACCACTATGTTTGGTGCAACATCTGTTACGTTATATTAACGTTTTAATTACGTTTTGTGGTTTACTGGGTTTTATTAATGCATGGTGCAAACCCGAACCTCATCATCACCATAACCAACCCTAGATTCTTCCAATTGTGATTGTTTCATAGTTTTTACCTTATCTGCCAGGGCCAGATCTCGGAAAAGAGAATCTCGAACTCCCCTCATATTGCGAAACTCCGAATTGGATAACCTAGATCTGGGATTGCTGTCTGTGAGATCCAGGATTGATGGGCCGAGAGCACGACCAACCTAGGTAATAAATATAAAAGACATATGAATATATGTATATATATATATATATATATATATATAAATATATATATATATATATATATATATATATAGATATATATATCTTATATATAAAAATGCAGCTCTCGATAAAATGATCCGCCAATACTAAACTCCGGCTAAACCGATTTGGCCAGTTTTAGTCTTGTAAAATTCGTGATTATCATTAGGGTTGTCGGAAAGGTGAGATATTATTTCAAAATCGCGTAGAAAATTTACATTTTTACTTTGAAAATTTTTGTAGAAACGCAATTTGAATAAAACAATGGACGGTGGCTAATACGTCAAATGTCAAACGTTTTTGACAGATGATGTTCAATTACGTTTAATAGAATGTTTTACGTTAATATTATTTAATTATGATTAAATTGTAGTAAGTAGTTTTGTTTGTTTGCTTGTTTAGTAAACGTTTTGACGTAAACAAATTGACGGCTTAAAATATATTTCAAAAATATAAAGCGTTGTAATACAGTTATGAAATTATAGTATGTTATTTCTTAATACGTGTACTGAATTATAAAAATATAAAATCAAATATCTTCTTCTAAATTGCAATGCACACGTGCATACTCTATTTTCATTAGTTGCGAATCGACGGTTGGATATGATATCAGAAGCACTTTTGAAAAATGTTTTAAAAATATACAATATTACACTAGAGCTATGAAATTTTAGTATGTTATTACCTAATATATGTACTCAATTATAAAAATATAAAATCACATATGTTTCTTACAAAAACAGCTATAAATGTGCAATTTTGTGAACAAAACACTCTTGCATATCTAGTTTCCAATAGTTGCAAGTCCACGGTTTGACGAGTATTTTGAAAAATATTTAAAAATATAAAACGTTATACTGGAGTTACAAAATTTTTGTATGTTATTTCTTGATATGTGTACTAAATTATAAAAATATAAAATCACATATGTTTCTTACAAAAACAGCTATAAATTTGCAATTCAGTAAAATCGTGTAATAAAACCGCAAGTGTTACTACTACAAACTCAACAATTTACCAACTTTTTTGAAATGTTAATATGAAAATGCACTTTTTGGCACATTTTTCTCAAACACGGTGCTCTGAAAGATCTCATTTGTATAATTATATACTCATTGGTATTTGTAAAACATTTTATAAGTTATATTATTTTTTATTTATGTTATTTAAATTCAGAACCAAAATTTGGACTCGATCAAAAGGACATTTTGTAGAATAATATTTTCCCAGTTATAATTTCCCAGAATTTAACGAAAAATAGATAGTAATATATGAAGATCCGGGGTTAAAAAGGTCCACCACCGATGTATCAAAAACCAGTAAACTTAAGAATTGTTTAACAACAATATTTGAAAGTAGAGGGAAAATGATGTCTAACCAGCTATAACCTTGATTCTCAGGACTTTGCTATCGGGAGATAAACGGCAATATTTGAAAATTCGAATATATATATATATATATATATATATATATATATATATAGGTATGTATATATGTATTTAGACTCATTTTGTCTATCTACTGACCTCTTCGAACACCTTTGGTCCATACTTCGGAGGCACACCACCGCCTTTGATTCTTTTATCAGGTTGATGTCTGGTCGGTGGTAAAGTATTAACAATTCGTCCAGTGTTGTAGTTGCATTCCAAAGTATACGAACGAAGTAAACCAGTTTGTTTCCAAATTGCAACTCTGCCACTGCCTGCACGACTTGAACCATCTCTACGATCCCTAGAAGAAAAAAATATCAATTCACTAATTAACTTCCCGTAGGGTAGTTATAGTAATCGGCCGAAAATCGAAAATGAAAATTTTTGCATTCTTAGACGTTTTGAAGGTTTCTGAACATTTTTAAAGGGTATACCACAGAAACTAATTGGATGTATGTGTGTTTTGTGTGTCCGCATTTTTTCGTCCACGTTTTCGGGCGCACGGATCAACCGATTTGAATGGTGTAAAAAACATTCGATCCCTATTGATAGGAAGATGTGCTGATTAGTTTTTGGCAAAGGTAGGTCCAGCCGTTACGCAGATACGGAGCAAAGAGTGCAGAAAATACAAATCGAGTTTTTGAGGAAACGGAGTTTGAATGATCTAAAAAACACTCAATTTGTAATGATTGGGAAAAGAACTCCACAAACGAGCAAATGGAAATATTAGGAAAAAGGACTCTACTGACAAGCAAAATTTTGCTTAAAACGTTTTGAAAGTAAAAGGGACTCTACTGACGAGCAAATTGAAAATATTGTAAGAAAAAGAAACTTTACTGACAAGCATAATGAAAATATTAGAAAAAAAGGACTCTACTGACGAGCAAATAAAAATAGAAAGAGAAAAAAGGGACTCTACTGACGATCAAATTAAAATATTAGGACAAAAAGGGACTCTACTGACAAGCATAATGAAAATATTAGAAAAAGGGACTCTACAGACGAGTAAATTAAAATATTAGTACAAAAGGGACTCTATTGACGAGCAAATAAAAATAGAAAGAGAAAAAAGGGACTCTACTGACGAGCAAATGAAAATTTGTAAGAAAAAGGGACTCTACTGAGGAGCGAATGAAAATACAAAGAGAAAAAATGGACTCTACTGACGAGCAAATTAAAATATTAGGCAAAAGGGACTCTACTGACGAGCAATCTGAAGATTTGTAAAATGACAAAGGAGTTTTAAGAAACTTTAAGAGAAAATAAACTCTACTAACTAGCAAATCCGGGAAAATTTAGCAAAGACAGGTCCCGCCATTTCGAAGATACAGAGCTAAATATGCAAAAAATTGCAGTTTTTGAGTGAACTAAGCCTTCGATTTGAATGATCTAAAAAACTTTCTGCTCGTATTGACAAAACAATTGCTTTTGAGGATGAAAAATTATTACATCTTTTTTTATTTTCCATAAAATATTTTTGTAATTTTGGATTGAAAATTAAAAAAATCACCCAGGCTAAGCACAGTCTAAGCGCCACTCTGGTACAAATGTTTACCCAAGTGCATTTAGACTGTTTATGTATTGGAGAACTTTTCCAATTTTTCGAAAACTATTGAAAAATGTGAAAATGCCGCCAAGCTAAGCACAGTACAAGTGAAAATGTCGCACGGAATTGTTTGCAAATGCGTTTAGACTGTGACTATACGGAGCACTTTTTCAATTTTGTGTAAATTAGGCAACTTTTTTTTTTTTTTTGAAATTGAATTCTAAATGAAATGACGATTGGAGATAAATTGATTTATGATTTACATTTGATTTGCTCAGATATAACAAACAAGATAGCAAAAATAATGAAAGTTACAGTATTTGTAATAATATATTTGATAACGTTTAAAATTTCTCGAATATTTCATTATGGTACTGGAAGTTCCAGCAACTTACCTTAAGGCACGATGCCATACACCACTAGTTATTTTTCATGTGTCTTTTATTACTTACTTGACATACATATTCCTTTCTGTGAAATTACAGGCAGCGTAATGGAAATGCAGGCTGTTAACGGACATCAATCTGGGCAATTCGTGGACAGTGATATTAGGATCTGTGGTTTCATTGGAGGACGAACCACCACCTCCAGTATCATAGCTGCAACTTGAGGTTTCACCTAATTTTAACTTGAAACGAATGTGATTGCCATACATGAAGATTCCACGTTTGGAGGCATGTCCGTGCATGTCTATGTAGAGGAACAGGGCTGATTTGGACTGGTCGAAGAATGGTGCTTCTACATCCAACTCTGGTAAATGAAACAAAATGGTAATAAAGGATAGTATGGTAAACACTTTGATGTAAAACATACTTAAATTTCAAGTTTGTAGTACAAATGATACATCCTGAAGAGCTCGTCGAAATACAGAACTTGAACCTTGGCCAAGTTTTGGGTACTTTTTGTTTAAAAAAAGTTAAAATCTCAAAATTTTGAAACAAAACACATTGATTTTAGCATTTGTAGTCATAGTAGACACGTTGATATAAAATATACTCAAATTTCAAGTTCGTAGTACAAACGGTACGTCCTGAAGAGCTCATCAAAATACAGAACTTAAACCTTGGCCAAGTTTTGGGTAGTTTTTGTTTAAAAAAAGTTTTTATATCAAAATTTTGAGAGAAAACTTGTAGATTTTAGTATTTGTCGTCATAGTAGACACGTTGATGTAAGACATATTCAAATTTCAACTTTGTAGTACAAACTATACTTCCTGAAGAGCTCATCAAAATACAGAACTCCAATCTTGGCCAAGTTTTGGGTACTTTTTGTTTAAAAAAAGTTAATATCTCAAAATTTTGAAACAAAACTTGTAGATTTTAGTATTTGTTACTATAGTATATAAGTTGATGTAAAACATACTCAAATATCAAGTTTGTAGTACAAACGGTACGTCCTGAATAGCTCATCAAAATACATAACTTAAACCTTGGCCAAGATTTGTGTACTTTATGTTTAAAAAAAGTTAACATCTCAAAATTTTGAGAGAAAACTTGTAGATTTTAGTATTTCTTATTATAGTAGACGCGTTGATGTAAAACATACTCAAATTTCAAGGTTGTAGTACAAACGGTTTGTCCCTAACAGCTCATCAAATTCCAGATTCAAGATCTTGATCCCAAATTTTAAGTACCATTTTTTGCAAAAATGTTGTTTCAAAATTTTGTGAGAAAACTTGTAGATTTTAGTATTTGTTACCATAGTAGATAACTTATAAACAACTAGTCACTTTATTTTGAAAATTATTAATATCTTGTATTGTTTTAAAGAAAACCTGTTGATATTATTATTCGTTGTCAAAATGTACATATTTAGGAATATCATATCCAGATTATAGCATTCTAGTACACACAATGTGTCCTGAAGAGCTCATCAAACTTGTTATTAACACAATATCAAATTTAGATATGAACTCTTTGTGACTTTTTGTGTAAACAAAAAATTATCAAAATTTTGATGAGCCCTTCAGGACAGTCCAATTGTACCAGTAGGCTGTAATTTGAATAAAATATTCTTCAATGTGTCTATTTTAATAACAAATATTAAAATTTATTGGTTTTCTTTGTGAAAATTCAAAATTTTGATAATTATTTGTTTAAAGTCAGCGAGCGTTCATATCTAAATTTGATATTTTGGTAATAATGAGTTTGATGAGCTCTTCAGGACGTGTCGTTCGTACTAGAATGCTGTAATTTGGATATGATATTCTTTAAAATGTCTATTTTAATAACAAATAATAAAATTGATAGGTTTTCTTTGTAAAATTGCAAGATTTTGATAATTTTCTGCATAAAGTCTTTTAACAATTGTGTCTTATTTTGATCAAAGTATGTAACATTTTCACGAGCTCTTCAGGACAGCCCAATTGTACCAGTAGGTAACTGTAATTTGGATAAAATATTCTTCAATGTGTCTATTTTAATAACAAATAATAAAATTGATTGGTTTTCTTTGTAAAAATTCAAAATTTTGATAATGTTTTGTTTAAAGTCCATATCTAAATTTGATATTTTAGTAATAATGAGTTTGATGAGCTCTTCAGGACGTGTCGTTCGTACTAGAATGCTGTAATTTGGATATGATATTCCTTAAAATGTCTATTTTAATAACAAATAATAAAATTGATAGGTTTTCTTTGTAAAAATGCAAGATTTTGATAATTTTCTGTATAGTCAGCGCGAGCGTTTATATCTAAATTTGATATTTTGGTAATAATAAGTTTGAAGAGCTCTTCAGGACACATCATTTGTACTAGAATGCTGTAATTTGGACATAACAATCCTAAGTATGTCTATTTTGGCAAAAAATAATAAAATTGATAGGTTTTCTTTGTAAAAATGCAAGATTTTAATAATTTTCTGTATAGTCAGCGAGTCATACTCAAATTACAAAGTTTTAGTACAAAGTTTTAGTCTTGAAAAGCTCATCAAAATACAGAACTTCAATCTTGGCCAAGTTTTGGGTACTTTTTGTTTAAACAAAGTTAATATCTCAAAATTTTGTGAGAAAACTCATAGATTTTAGTATTTGTTGTCATAGTAGACACGTTGATGTAAAACATACTCAAACTTCAAGTTTGTAGTACAAAAGATACGTCCTGAAGAGCTCCTAAAAATACAGAACTTCAATCTTGGCTAAGTTTTGGGTACTTTTTGTTTAAAACAAGTTAATATCTCAAAATTTTGAGAGAAAACTTGTAGATTTTAGTATTTGTCGTCATAGTAGACACGTTGATGTAAAACATACTCAAATTGCAAGTTTGTAGTACAAACGATACGTCCTGAAGAGCTCATCAAACTTCAATCTTGGCCAAGTTTTGGGTACTTTTTGTTTAAAAAAATTAATATCTCAAAATTTTGGTACAAAAATCATTGATTTTAGTATTTATCGTCATAGTAGACACGTTGATGTAAAACATACTCAAATTACAAGGTTGTAGTACAAACGGTACGTCCTGAAGAGCTCATCAAAATACAGAACTTTAATCTTGGCCAAGTTTTGGGTACTTTTTGTTTAAAAAACAGTTAATATCTCAAAATTTTGTAACAAAACTCATTGATTTTAGTAGTATTTGTTTTCATAGTAGACACATTGATGTAAAAAATACTCAAATTACAAAGTTTTAGTACAAATGGTACGTCTTGAAGAGCTCATCAAAATACAGAACATCAACCTTGGCCAAGTTTTGGGTACTTTTTGTCTATAGAAAGTTAATATCTCAAAATTTTGAAACAAAACTCATTAATTTTAGTATTTGTCATCATAGTATGCACGTTGATGTAAAACTTATTCAAATTTCAAGTTTGCAATACAAACAGTACGTCCTGAAGAGCTTCTCAAAATACAGAACTTAAACTTTGGCCAAGTTTTGGGTACTTTTTGTTTAAAAAAAGTTAATATCTCAAAATTTTGAAACAAAACTCATTGATTTTAGTATTTGTAGTCATAGTAGACACGTTGATGTAAAACATACTCAAATTGCAAGGTTGTAGTACAAACGGTACGTCCTGAAGAGCTCAACAAAAGTTAAAGAAAAAAGTTCTATGTGGTGATTTATATAGAATAGATATTATTTAGAATAATTTTAATAATGCAATCAAAGAGTAGAAAAAAAGACTAAAATTAATAAAATTTTAGATAAACCAAACTAGTACACGATTTAAGAAAATACTTGGTCAACAATAAAATGCTATGCTACAGGATACATGAAGAATTTTCACAAATTGAATTTACTGCAAACATAGTACTATATAAAAAAAACTGTATTTGAACTTTAAATATTTAAAACCAGTACATTACCAATAATACAATCATGATCAATTTCTAACAATGTTATTAAAAACTGATTTTGATATGCAGTTTTCCAAATCATATACTATTTTGTATATCGATAAATTTTTCTGAAAATTACCATTGTAGTAATCAAAAAAATAATAGCTCTATTTCATATCAATGCTCTCTTGGTTCCATTTTATATATATAATAATTTCCTAACACATTTCCTTCTCGATCTGATACAAAACATCAAAATATCTACTAAAAGGTTAATACCTAATTTAATATTATTTACAACATTCATCTACAGCATGCAATACAAGTACTATAATACATATGAATCAAAATATAAAACTGACTGAGTGTTATTACCTTCTTCAGAATCATAATCATCATTCCAGCAAGTGCTGGCAGTATCAGGTCTCTTGATAGCAGACGTAGCTCGATCTAAAGCCTTGGGCACTGCTGGTGGTGTACATATTTCTTGAGGATCACCTGCACTTGAACCACAACTACTGCCTGGTGCTGTTTTTGAAACTACCAAAACCATAAATTAGACATAGGTATAAAAAATCACATAATTATCACCATTGCTTACCGGTGTCTACAGGTTTTTGTGCAATCACTCTCAACTTGCAGTTTCTGCAAACATTGTTATCGATTTTGGCACTCATAGGTGGTATACAGGAGGAAATTATTTCTTGAGATATTATTTCACCAGACTTGGCAGGAACTGGTGCATCAGGAAGGTCACTTGTTATTTCTGGCAGATTGGATTCCTCCAACTTGTATGAACTTGCTATACAGACGTCACACCACAAAGGTAATGGACTGATGGGCCTAAAAATATTTATAAAATTCATAAAGGATAAAGTACTAATAATATATATATATATATATATATATATATATATTATATATATATATATATATATGTATATATACTAGATGACCCGACATACGTTGTCCTGTACCCACATCTACGTTTTTTTAATATCCCATACTAATATTCACTGTTCAGTTAAAAATAATAATTATTGTTTTTCGAATTACTATTTACACCAATATATGAGAGATGTTAAATGTAAAACTGCTTCAAATAAAATGATGATTCTCAATTCCCAAAGTTAACACTTTAATTATCCCTTTAACACATATTAAAATATGTTCAATAAAATTGTATATTAAAAATTATACACTGCAATTTATAAAACAAATTTATTTCCAATAGCTCAATTTATTTTAATGCCAAAGGTTTGCCAATATTTTTAGTCATACCTGTAGATGTGGATGTATAAATGAATGATTTTTTGTTTATTCACGACTAAAACATTGATTTTCCAAATTTTTCACACAAAAAATCATTGTCTGCCTTTGTGATTTATAGCATAAGATATACAAATTGGAAATTGAAGTCTTTTAAAAGGTATAACAAATTAAGAAAGCATTAATATATAGCATTCGCGGTAAAGGTACAATATCACCTTGGATTTTTCTACCCAAAATAATTGCTTCAATAATGTTGCTTATAATTTTTATAATTTCGTACCCTGGCTTTTAGTAATTTTAATATCTAAATTACATTTTTCTCACGAATAATCCATTATACATTATTACTCAAGTTTATATTTGAAGTGAATTAATTTGTCAAATCCTGTTCACATGTGCTCTATTCAACCTACGATCAACAAAATTATTGCAGTAAATAGAGAGAAAAAAAGCGTGTGCCCTGTGAATTTTTTTTGCTGTGCTCCAATTTGCTTGATATTTTGGAAATAGGCTAATCTTAATCTTAAGTTCAGAAGTGAAAACAATTTGCACTCCTTCACCACCCCCCGCATTAATTGGATTATAACTCTTCTAATTCTGATTTTATCAGAACTTGTAATATACTATTTTAAAGGTAATTAAATGAGCTACAACTTTCTCTATCATAAATTTTACCGTAACTTCTTTTATTTTGAAACGGCGAAGGGTTAAAGGGCTCGAAAGACACTCTGGTTGGACAGCCGCGCACTCTTTAAACAATCATAACTCTATCAATATTTGTGTAACAGAAAAATAATAAAAAGCAATAATTAGTCAGAAAAAGACCTTGAATTTTCATCTATATACCTTTATACGTATCTTTTATTCTGTCAGAGATATAATAATGAGAAATTGGTTGTTTTTTTTAAATGGATTTTTTTTTTCGTGAAATCATGAGTTTTTTGAAAATCGTTTATACTAAAGTTGTGGTATTTTCTAGAATCCATCAAGATCTCTTAAACCAAGTTAATTCTAGATGGAATATGATTATTTTTAATTTTGGTGGAAATGGCACTCGCAAACTATTTGATTTAAATGAAAAAATCATTGTATTCGTTTATTTGCATGATAGCTCACTCATTTTACACGCAGAAGTACTCATAAAGCTTTTTTTAAACACTATAAAAACCCATTTTTATATCTAGCCTAATATTGTTCCTAGAACACCTTATAAAACACCGATTTATTAAGATTTTGATTGATATAATTTTGTTCATTACATGATTTTCGTTAAAATGTATATTTTTGAAGATATTAGCGCAAAACGATGAAAAACGCAGAAAAGAAACGAATTTTCAGTAGCCAGTAACTTGAAAAGTATTTGCTTTTTTGAAAAACATTATTAAACATTTTTCTCTTATAATTAGTTTCTTTTATCGATACCGATAGAAAGAAATATCATCCCCCCAGGGAAGTGGCAAAGGAGTCTAAATTATTTTCACTTTTGAACTTGAGAACAAGATGAACCTAATTCCAAAATTTCATGCAAATTGGAGCACAGTAAAAAAAATTTTTAACCAAAACGCTTCATTGACTTGAGTAAATATTCGGTATCCAAAGACAAACATATGAATAAAACTTCTAAATAATTTTTTGAATGAGTTAATTTTTTTTTGTATTGTGATTTCGTAAAGTAAGGCAAAACACGACTGCATTAGTTAAAAGATAATCTGTCAAATAGAATCATATGTGCAATCACTTACAGTCCACAACTGACTGTATTTTATTATATTATTTTAATTTTTGGCACATCTCAGCTGCTTTTCGGCAATAATAATGTAGACATTACACTTTTCTTATTCATAATCATAAATATATTACATTCTAATATTGTCTTAGCCTATAAGTGAATGGAAATGTTTGGCAAATGACAGTCTTCATTTGTTTTTAATGTCAAACAATGCCTCAAATATTTTCAAAGTCAAACAATGATAAGCGGTTTTTTGTAATTCTTTCATTTATTTCTACAATCTAACTATATTTCTATGAATCAAAAAATCCTAGAAAATTTCCTTAACAAACTTGAGGAAGATTTATGAAAATCCGAATAATCGCTT